GGAACAAGCTCCAAGTACAAGATCCATAGAAACTGGGTGCAGGCTGTGCACAGATGCCCCTGAGACAATCCAGCACATAACAGCAGGGTGCAAGATGCTAGCAGGCAGGGCATACATGGAACGCCATAACCAAGTGGCCGACATAGCATACAGAAACATCTGTGCTGAGTATGGCCTGGAAGTCACAAGGTCAAAATGGGAACCCCCCTTATGGTGGTGGAGGATGGCTGAGCTAAGATCCTGTGGGAATTCCAGATACAGACGGACAAAATAGTGGTGGCTAACCAACCGGACATAGTAGTGGTGGACAGGCAGAGGAATACGGCTGTAGTGATACTGAATGAAAGCAACATCAAGAAGAAGGAACATAACTACCAAGGGCTCAGAGAAGAACTCAAGAAAATGCAAAGAGTGAAGGTAACGGTGGTCCCATTGGTAATCGGAGCACTACGTGCGGTGACTCCCAAGCTAGGCGAGTGACTCCAGCAGATCCCAGGAACAACATTCGAGATCTCTGTCCAGAAGAGTGCAGTCCTAGGAACAGCAAAGATGCTGCGCAGGACCCTCAAGATCCCAGACCTCTGGTAGAGGACCTGAGGTTGAAGGATAAAGATCACCCGCCCTTATTTGCACAAATATATATATTTTAAAGGCTTAACGCCTGTCTGAGGGAACTGAAACTAAATTCCATGAAATGCTGGTTTGCTCTTAACTCTAGGAAAATAATCCAAGCAAGCGACCCTTTTTAACACTCTTACAGTGCCATCAACATGCCTTGCTATAACCCCATGTACCGATATGACAGAAGGCTGCCACAAACTGTGTGGTTTCATCCGTCTGCACTGAGCATTCATGACATATTCTTTTTTTTAATGTGCACAATGAACTGTCCATGTTGTTGGTGCAAGCCATACAGTGTGGAAATTCCTTGTAATCTCCACAAACTGAAGTAACATCTGACACAGCCACTAATCCACTAGTAATCTATGTCTGAATCCCTGGTTGCACCCCCACCACACTCCCCAAGAATTCTGGACTTCTACAACTAGACCAACAGGTCTACCTCATCAGCAGCCTAAGGACTAGGGTGGGATGGGGGAGGTGCTTGTTTCCCTGCCTTCATACAGAGCTGTTGAGGTACTTTTGCTTTGATATCAAAATAAGTACTTTAATAGTAGGGCTGCCACGATTAGTCGACTAGTCACGATTACGTCGACTATCAAAATCGTCGACGACTGATTTAATAGTCGACGCGTCGTTTGAAGCTTTGTAAGATCACAAAAGACGCAGGAATAAGTAGTAGGATTTAAGAGTATAATAACGGACTGAAACAGAAGATGGCAGCACAGCATGTACAAGGATGCCAGCTGCCGTTAAACCCCGAAGAAGAAGAAGCTGTGTCCCAGAATTCATAGCGCAGCCTAGCTCAGTTTCCAACAATGGCGGCAGCTAGTTAGTTTTAATATTACTCTTATTATTCTTTCTGGGTCACAAAATAAACGTTTAACATGTTTTCAGGCGAGAATGTAGCTGTGTAAACCTCAAATATCTGCTCAGTTTATCAAGACACCACATATTTTCAAAAGCGCTCCGACGTTTTCGGAGACGTCTGTTACCCACTAGCTCGATAGCGAGCCGGGGGCTAGGCTCACTAGAGCCGTGAGAACACCGGTCTCCCGGCTAATCGTTTTCAAACCCACCGCCGTCTTTCGCTACTCAGGTTAAACATGATATATAAGTCACGTAGATAACTTAAAAATGTTATTGTCTGGCTTTTTTTTTTTAGTATTTTATTTGTTCCTGATTAAATCGGTTTGGCTGAGATTAAAGTTATAGTTTTTACACAGCTGAATAAACGTCAGATTAAACTCCACCGAAACAATCTGCAAATGTCATTAAAATTTAATAAACTCTCATCTTGTCTTTATTTTTAGTTAGCACAGACCTTACACACTTAAAGCTGTAAGCTAATGATAGTTATATCTGTAACTGTAACCGGAAGGTCGCCGGTTCGATCCCTGGGCTCTCTGTCCTGGTCGTTGTGTCCTTGGGCAAGACACTTTACCCTACTGCCTACTGGTGTTGGCCAGAGGGGCCGATGGCGCGATATGGCGGCCTCGCTTCTGTCAGTCTGCCCCAGGGCAGCTGTGGCTACAACTGTAGCTTGCCTCCACCAGTGTGTGAATGTGAGAGTGACTGAATAGTGGCATTGTAAAGCGCTTTGGGTGCCTTGAAAAGCGCTATATAAATGCAATCCATTATTATTATTATAATATAAGAGCAGATGCTGCTGGTGCAATAAGCTGTACGCTTTACGTCCAATGGATGATGATCTGATTAGTCGACTAATCGCAAAAATAATCGGTGACTAGTCGACTATCAAAATAATCGTTTGTGGCAGCCCTATTTAATAGTACTGACTGAAAAGAAAATACAAAGGATTAATCATTTATAAAATTCTAAAAACTAACATCAAATATCCATCCACACTGATAACCACATTTTACAGCTTCTTAATTAAAGCAAGGACTCAAAAGCAGCCATCTTTAACCAATATCCAACCTAATCATTTAGATGAACAAAAATGAAAAACGTGCTAATTTCTATTTTGAAAAAAAATTCACAAAACATGAATGAAGTTTAATAAATATTTTAAACTGATGTAATACATAATTATTAATAAGAAGTCCTGGGATTAGCAGGTACAATACACACATAACAATCAGTAATGCACTCAACCACTGTGGCCTGTATGCACGCTCACCATGAAAGGCTCCACAGCTGAAGAAAAAGCATGTTGAAGCGCAGAACAACATTTAGACAAGGTCAAAGGTCAAAGGCACTGCAAAAACACAATACCAACAGTGAAGTTTGGAGGTGGGAACATCATGGTGCATATGGCACTGGCATGCTTCATGTAACTGAAGGAAGGATGAATGGAAAATGTACAGAGACATTCTTGATAAAAACCTGCTGCCATCTACCAGAATGATGAAGATGAAATGAGTGTGGATGTCTCAGCAAGACAATGATTCCAAACACACAGAAAGAAAGAAATTCAAGTTGCTAAAACGGCCCAGCCAATCATCTGACCTAAATCCAGTTGAAAATCACTGGAAAGCACTAAAGCTCAGAGTTTATAGACGGGGCCCACAGAACCTTCAGGACTGTTTGTGGGGAAGAACGGGGCCAAAATCAGACCTGAGCAATACATATGACTAGTTTCTCCATACTTGAAGATGTTATCACCAACAAAGGCTTTTGTATGAAGTATTAAAACCCACACCAGAGGGTTTAAAGAGAACAACAGAAAGCGTGTGGTCTACATGCACAGAAAGGTTTCTCCATAAACCAGATTTAACCTGCTTCACTCTGTCAGTGTGAGAGCCAGACTGTGAAACAATGCTGCCAATGTGTTAGGAAACAGTCTACTGGCATTTCTCAAACACACACACACACACTAACACACACACACACGTTCTGTAGGACGAACGCTGTTGTCATCACTGTCTCGCCTATGCGGTCATACAAGGAGGTCCTTCTACAAGACCAGTGTTTGCCAGTTTGATCAACACTGCTCCTAAACACTGGATAATGGGAAATGGACTGGTTCATATATAGCGCTTTTCTACTTTGAGCACTTAAAGTGTTTTACACAACTTGCCTCACTCACCCATTCACAAATTTACACCCATTGCACAATCTAACATTCAAGTGCATTCAGACTCCGATGGATGATAATATCTTGCCCAAGGATATCTGGCATGCAACCACCAACCTTCCCCGTTAGTATGTGACCTGCTCTACCACCTGAGCTACAGCCACTCCTACAGCCACTGCAGCTCTGAACTGTTCTAGAAATAACTAGCTGAACTGGACATCAGCTGGTTCTTATTCTATATCCTAGTACAAAGTCAATGGATTCCTTACCAATCGCCATCAAAACTGTCTGAAGTTCATGTGTTTAACAGCTTTCATTTAATGGTCTCTCCACTGTAACCATCAAAACCCACACAAGCAAGTTCAAACAGATATTCCAACTGCTAATTTACTCAGTAATTTTCAAAATACACACACAAAGAACAAAACAAAAAAAATAGAAGGTCAATAGTAGCAATCGGGTGCATTTGTTGGGCATATTTGATGGTTTATAAGCAGATGATCTATATGTACGAAACGGCAGTTTCTGAAATCTAAGTGTTACTAATGTTTAGGAGGTATATTTACAGAAAGACCTGTCAAACCACCATTTAATTCAATGTAGCAAAAGGGATTACATGAAAACTGAACCAAGAAACTAAAAGCTCAACATGTATTTGCGCACAGATAATTACTGCAGTCCTGGCTTAGATTCTTAGAATTCATTTATTTAGAATAGTAACCTGCTAATATTGGAAATGAGTGAGTGCCTATATTCTTGGTTATTCAGTGCTTCGTATGCTACAGTTTTAGCATATTTCTATCAATCCTCTATTGAATCCTTGGATAACTGAAGCGTTTACTTTGCCATTTCTCCACATGTTGCATCTTGCTGTATTTCTTTGTTTTTTTTTACTTCAGGGGATGAATGACATCCTCATTTTATTCATTTCTATGTACTTGTTATTGAATTTTTTAAAGCCTGAATGAGAAAAATATTTTTTACAAAATTAACTAAAGTTAAGAGCCTACATAAGCAAAACTTATTAAGAGTTTAACATACCATTTTTAGGGTCGCCTCTTTTCTCTGCAAAAGAAAAATTAACAGAATTATGGTTTCAGAAAAGTAATCACGAGTCAGCAATCTTTAGAATGTATGAAGCGGAACTTATTACGAGGTTTTAGTGAGAAAAAAAAAAAAAAAGAGTCAGAAAAGTGCTTTTTAGGTTCAGTTAGTTCTGTTAAAGCCCTAAGCTGCAGAAATGCTGCTTCACATATGAAAAAGCATTTTAATAGAGCAGTCAGGTTATTCTTGGCCTGAGCAGAAAAAGAAGAGAAGCAAAAGATTTGAAAGCTCAACTGTGTTTGCCATACAGCGTCCTGCCAGCTGTGCCAGCCCCGTGAGCCTTTGAACCCTCAGTCATCGTCACAGTTTGAGAGGTGCACTTCAAAAGGCCAACATGCTGGAAGGAGCTGAAGGGAAGTCAGAGGAGCCTCACAGCAGAGACATTTACTCTACTGAGAAAGACTGACAGCTTTACAGCAGCAGAGAGAAAGAGATGGAGCACACAGCAGCGAAGCGAAAGAAAAAATAGAAATAGGGGAACAAAACCCCACAGAAACAAACAAAAACACAGTCCCAAACCAAACCTGTCAGTGGAAACCACAGCTTGATGACTGATATGAGAGGTGATATTTTTTTTTTCCCGAGAAATACTTTTGGTGAGGATCAGTCCTCTACAAGCCTTCCACTGCTAGTGTCCGGAGAGTCAGTGCTATTCACAGCTCAAAGTAGAGCTGTTTTTACTTTCACCACTAAACAATCCTGCACTTTTAACTACCTCCCCTCCCTTTTCTAACAGTGTGCCAAACTCTAAGTCAGCCCCAAACCTGCCTTTAAGGCAGTGACTTCTGAGCCGCATTCAGGCTGAGTGAGCAAAAGATAAGGTGTGTTCTCCAATAAAAGTTATGAAAGGTTAAACCAATTGAGGAAGAACACAAAGACAAACTGAAACATTAAAGTTCACCTATTTTCCGCTGTCGTCGGTTGAGCAAGTCATCAATGGTGGCTCTGAATCGTTTGGCTTCTTCTTCGCTGGCGAAGTTCAAGCCAATCTGACATGTCTGAAAGAAAGAGAAAGGGTGAAATGTGATTCTAACAGCTTTCTCTGAAGAACAGAAAAACTGTGCAACATTAAATCGTAATACACTGTAGGTGGATAAAGACAAGCCTGACAACTGATATTTGGAAATATGAAAGAACCACACAGCCTTATTTTATGCTGATAAAATTCTTGGTGAGAATAGACTCTAAAAACAGGAAGACTAATCATCTGCTGTAGACATTCAAGTCTTGAAGAAGTCAAAAGAAAACAAACACTTACATCTCCTGCAAATGTAATGAAGTAGGGTCTGGAGTTGCTGATGAAGAAGTTGTGGTAGAGTTCCTGTTCGAACATCATTTTCCCTTCCTACAGAAAAAAATTACGGAAAAATGAAATTGAAAAAAAAAAAAGTTCAGAAAAAAAATCTGACTTCTAATCCTCTACAACTTAAATTCATACTCCCAACAACCCAAAGAGAGATTTAAGAGCTGGCTGCTTGTTCAAGAAATTAAATGTCTTCTGGAAGACAATGATGCATTTTGGTATCCTTGAACACACCTCCATAAGGAGCTCACCTCCACTTAGTTAAATGAAAAAGAAAAAAAAAAATCACCAACAACACAACCAACAAGAAACTGCCAAATATTTGCAGCATGCATTTTCTATCTACAAGTAGGGCTGGGCCGTTAATTATAAATTCAATTAAAAATTTGGCTTTGAACACAATCAAACAATTTAAATATGATAAAACAATTACTTATAATTTTTAAGCATAAAACTTGAGCCCTGCCTCTCACCCTATGACAGCTGGGATAGGCTCCTGCGCCCCCCCACGATCCCGAAAAGGATAAGCGAAAGCGAATGGACGGACTTGTATTTTATGTTGTGTAATAAATTAAACGCAACGCCTTTTTTCATATCAGTACGTTTACTTCAGCTCCAGCCGAGATGACGGAAGAGTACTTTTGGTCAACGAGCACTGACTAGAGGAAGTAAAAGTTACAAAAAGGTTTTTCAAATCAATTTTATTTATATGGTGCCAAATCACAACAACAATTGCTTCAAGGTGCCTTTTCTGCAGGTGTCTCAGCATTTCCTAGTTTCTGTTACTCAGTCCATGAGACTGAGGTGCTGGGTTTATTATTGGCCCTGCCATCGCACTACCTATAGTTATAATACAGGTCATCTGAGATGCAAGTCTGCCGTCACCTGCACCCACAGACCACCCTCGGTGATCAATACCTACTCGTCTGGTCCACAAACAGTATAAAAAATAAACATAGTTTACAGATCTGAAAAGTGAAGCAAAATAGCTTAAACCTGAATTCTATTTAATGGCCACGAGGAGACAAATACACTCTGAAAAATACTTTCCGCTGAGTTAATGAGTAAAGATAACGAGTTTATCAGTCACTTATTTTGGGTCATACTGAATAGTACTGACTGGTCATATAGTGTTTCAGAAAGGCAGATTATCCCTGTTACATTCATGGCTAAACGTGAATGTAACAGGGATGGTAACAGTCAGACCCTCCTCTCTCCTGTCACATCTAGTTCAATCAACAGATGGTTTGTTAGCTTAATGCAATCTTATACTTCTGAAATAAAACCTGACCAAAATAATCATGACTGTCCTTCTTGTCATAATTCAGCATTCCTTGATTCTGATAAGTGAGCAGTGTTTTTTCCCATTAGAAAGAGAAAATAAATATATACATGGATATAGAGCAGGGCGATATGGCCAAAAATATTTATCACGATATATATTTGAAAATTTGCGATAACGATATAACTGACGATATAATTGATGCGAGACAAAATACAACTCCACAACATTACTAGCGCAAAAAGACAACCTTCCATTTATTTTCACTTAAACAAGAAGCTGGTTTTTATGTACATTAAAGCTTTATAAAAATGTAACAGTGCAAATGCAAATTCCTTGCTGAAAGTTTAACCAAAAGGCATTTCCAGTAGAAATGGGCTGACATATCCTGAGCATAACCATGTATAATATCCACTGAAGTTAAAAAGAGGTGCTTTGCAACATTAAACTGCAGTGTGCAGTACGTATTTTTCGGACCATAAGGTGCACGGGATTATAAGGCACATTAAGCGAAACAAAGCAGTCAGATAAATCAAACTTTATTAAACTCATTCTTCTTGCTTCCTCCACTTCTGTACCATTGATTCATTAATGTTGAATTCTCTGGCAGCTGCTCTATTCCCATGTTGTTGCAGTATACTAATGACTAACCTCGTATTGTGGATGGATTATCTCAGTTGTTCTCCTGACTGAAGTTTGGTCCGTTTACAGCATCCTGCCATGCGATTGCATTTGTCTCTAACTATCAGGAACCTTAACGTTAACTTTTATAAGTGGAAAAGTGTTAGTGTTCGTCCTCCAGCTTCACTGTGTATGTTATGCTAACATAGCTGTGTCGCTAGCGATCAGGTAGCACATCATTATATACCAGCTAGCCCAACATCAGTAACCCTACAAGCGTCACTGCTGTTTAGTTTCCTGTCTTCATTTATGTTGGAAGTGATAGCAGAGCTGTACGTTTGAATTTTTTCAGAAATCTCTCAGTCAGAACATGCAATATCATGCTTAGGTAACTAGCGAGCTAACTTCCGCTAGCTTCCTGCTAACTTCTAACTCCGTTAAATGTAATAAATTTTGTTTTCATGGATGCCTGGAAGTTAAACTTCATCTGGTAAAGCAGCAATTCTGATCGTTTTATTAAAGATGAAAGAATTTAGACAGTTTTTAACTCTCAGTGATGCTGCAGTGTTCGTTTGACCTGAAGTATACGGAGTTTAGGACCCAGATTACTCCCAGATTTAAGAGCATCTTAGTCCGACAAATACGACAATAACGACGGCCGCTTGCATGTTCTGCAAAAAAATGTGCTTTGTCGTGTATCTGACAGACAAACACCAAACCAGTTCCACATCACTGAAGTTGCACCATTTTTACAAACCAAATCTGGTTCATCTGTTTCACTCAACAATCGGCCATGTGCGTATGAAAACAAAGGCACTGCGCATGCGGTTTTACTCATATTCTATCGCGATATTTCATTTTCCTATCGTTGTCTAACATTATACCATTACCATGAACGGTATAATATGGCCCAGCCCTACATGGATATATATACAGCTTAAGTCCACACTGATATTACTTTGAGAGCCTGTATCCGCCTCAGGCAGTAACCACACATCTGATAATTCATTTTGATCCATTTGAGATGTACAACTGAATGTACATCATATATAAAGTGCTGTTCTAATTAAGTCAGTGAACACACAGAGTAAATGTGAAAAGTCTGGCCACAACCCTCCACAGAAGCACTGAGAAAAAAAACTAAACAATTTTGTTCCAAGCACTATTCTTGAATAAAGTCTTGATGCATGCTCAATCATCCAGGAGAGGAAATCCCAAAAAGTTGATTCTGTTTATCTGGACGTAGCGTTTTCAGTGGGAGAAACGTTTCCACACTCATCCAGGTGACTTCTTCAGTCTCAGCTGACTGCAGGTTTCCCCAATCTTATAAACAGTTCATTTGCACAATAACTGAAACTAGCACCACTGGCAAACAGCGTCGTTATTGCTGTTTTTGTTGATCAGTGGTCATCACAATTTGCATATTAATGATCAAGGAACTGACCTCACAGCCCATTGTTTGCCAGTGGTGCTAGTTTCAGTTATTGTGCAAATGAACTGTTTATAAGATTGGGGAAACCTGCAGTCAGCTGAGACTGAAGAAGTAACCTGGATGAGTGTGGAAACGTTTCTCCCACTGAAAACGCTACGTCCAGATAAACAGAATCAACTTTTTGGGAATCTAAGTAACCCCTTTAAATCCGTGTTCTTATTTCTTTTACAAACAAGATATGACTGTTTGTGAACATTAGAGGCAGATTCTATTAAATGCACCGATTGCCTGTTTCCAGTGCTGTAACCACTGCTAAGCTAACTGGCAGCAGGTTCATATTTCAGTTTTTCTTCTGCCAGAAAGCAAAGAGGAAGAAAGAAGAAAAAGAAAATTCCAAAAATGTGAAAATAATCATTTAAGACGCATCTTTCAACTATTCTGCGGTGTTTAAAGCTTTTGGATTGTTTCCATTTGGTGTCACTCACCTTGATGTCAAAGACTCTGATGAAGTAGGATCTCTGAGGGTTGTCCTTGACAAGGCAGACCACTCCACAGCACCTCTTCACCCAGTTACAGCTCCTCTCAGCACCATACACCTGGACCACTGCTGAACACAGAGTCTGAAGCACAGATATGATGGTTAATATCATCACCTGTGTGATTTACAGAAAGAACAAAGACAACTACAGAAAAGAAGGTTACGTTGCTGAAAATGTAACCACTTTATCTCCCTACATTTTTTCTTTAAGATTTTACAGACACACAATGTTCTTTAGTATATACCTGTAAACTCCATGTGTGACAAATGGAGGAGGAAACATACACTATGCAAAACCTTCAAACAGCCACAATTACAGCTGGGAGGAGAAATAGAGTTGGTTATCAGGGAAACACTGAGACCTTTGGAAATCAGATTATATATGTCAAATGCATTCTACCTTAACAGGGAGTCACAAATATCAAAGGCTATCAAAGGCCCTACACTGATTCGTGAGTTGTGACTCAGCTGTATTGATGTAGTCACAAACAAAACAAGAACTCTGATGACAAATGGCTGACTTTACATTTACATTAGGTGAAAAGTGAAGGACTTGTAACTCTTATACACCAATTCCCAACTTCAGGAGGGTAAAACTTAAAAGTACTGACACCGCCTCATTGTCTTACACTTTTCCACAGTGTTTTAACAACAACAAGAGGAGTCCAGCTGCAGTAGTCAGCACTGCACAGGTTTCAAACAGCTCCAGTTTGTGGTTTCTGCAGAGGTTGCACAGTGTTTGATGCACTGCCATGATTCCTCTGCAGTGGAAGTAACTCCGGCTGCTGAGGAAGTTAAGAGGAAATGTCACTGCGTCCTTTCCATCTGTAATTTATAGGTGTAGGTCAGAGGAACAGGTGCAAACACTTTTCAGCAGGAAATCACCAATCAGCATCCCCCAGAAAAGGTCAAAATGTGTTCCTTAAAACCTTAAATTAAAAGCATCTAAATTCTTACACAGGAGAAGAATGCAGCAATGAACACAGACAGTGGTGACACTGCAGCCTCTGCAAGCTAAGATCTTAGCATCTGTTAACGATGAATGCAAAAATCAATATCTCAGTCATTTTTATATCATTAGCAGCCTGGCTGCTTCCTGTTAAACTCCTGATAGTGCCTACTACCATGAGTTCGTGCTAAAAATGTGTACATGCATTAATCACTGAAGACGTAACTGATTTGAGCAGTTAGTATTATGTAGCAAATCACAGTCACCTCAAGGCACTTTATATTGCAAGGCAAACACCCTATAATAATAAAGAAAAAACTACAATACTCAGATGGCCCCCACAAGCAAGCATTTGGCAACAGTGGGAAGGTAAAACTCCCTTTTAGCAAGAAGAAATCACTGGCAGAACCAGGTACAGGGAGGGGCAGCCATCTGCTGCAGCCAGTTGGGGTTGAAGGGAAGAGAAAAAAAAAAAAAAAAAAAAAGAGCGCGAAAAAGAACAAGAGATTAATAACTCATGATTAAATGCCTGGCGTCTAAAGACAGCGAGTGAAAAAAGGTGAGTGAATAAGAAATTCTCTGTGCATCATGGGAAGTCCCCAGTAGACTAGGCCTATTGCAACAAAACTAAGGAAGGATTCAGGTCCAGTCCTACTTTCTTTATCAAAAAGGAAGGTTTATCTATTGTTGTGATCCAAATTGGAAGCAGAAGAAGGGCTTTATAGCTGAAGGCTCTGGCTCCCATTCTGCTTTCAATTTTCTAGGAACCACAAGTTCAGCCTGCAGTCCAAGAGCAAAGAGCTCGCTTATGGTGTTATGGTACTATGAGATCTTTTAAGATAAAATGGGGCCTGATTATTTAAGACCTTTTATACGATTTATGACCTTTTATGCAATGAGAAGGATTTTAATTAGATTCTGGATTTAACAGGAAGCCAGTGAGGAGAAGCCAGTTTGGGAGAAATATGCTCTCTCTTTTCTAATCTCTGTCAGTATTCTTGCTGAAGCATTTCAGATCAAATGAAGGCTTTTCAGAGTTTTTTTGGGGGGGACATTCTGATAATAATGAATTTCATTAGCCTAGCCTAGAAGTATAAAATGCATCAACTAGTTTTTCAGCATCACTCTGAGATAGGATGTTTAGAGATATTACACAGATGCAAGAAAGCAGTTCCACATATTTTTGTTTAATTTGCAGTGTTACTCAGTGATACTAGCAGCCAAGGTAATGCCATCCAGAGTGAGTATCTGGTTAGATGCCATGTTTGTAATATTTATTTTGCTATATAAGGACAATAACCTCAGTTTTATCTGAACTTAGAAGTGGGAAAATGATCATCCAGTTGGCAAGATAAGTGGGCCAGAGAGAGCTTGAAGTCACCCCGGCTTACCTCTAATCACATCTGAGAGAGGGAAAAAGGTCTTAACATTCAACCTTTTATGTTTAAAATGATACAGACTGTTAGTCTTGGTAGCAGGGGATCGGTCCGCCAGGGCCTCCGCTCCTGGCCACCACCTGACACACACTGCACCAGACCCCTACACCACCTCCTGTGGGTGGTGGGCCTACAGAAGGATGGGCCCATGTCCCTTTTTCAGGTTGTGTCCAGACAGGCCCCATGGACTGAGGCCTGGCCACCAGACACTCGCCTTTGGGCACCCTCTACGGGCCCAGCTCCAGGGCAGGGCCCCAGTAACCCTATCCCAGTCAGGGTGAACTGTTCCTCTGATTGTTATCGCTATGTCTGGTCCTTCACCCAGGACCAATTTGCCATGGGAGACCGTACAGGAGGCAAAAGTCCCCTGAGAACATAGCCCCTGGGATCCCTGGGACACAAACCTCTCAAGCATGATAAGGTAGCGATTCACGGAAAAGGGTGGAGTACCCACTGTGGGACAGAGACGAACTGATGTCCCAAGTGGAGGAGTTTAAATATCTCTGGGTCTTGTTCACGAGTGAAGGGAGAAGGGAGCGGAAGATCAACAGATGGATTGGTGCTGTAGCTGCAATGATGGGGATGCTCTACCGGCCTGTTGTGGTGAAGAGAGAGCTGAGTGTAAAAGCAAAGCTCTCAATTTACTTGTCGATCTACGTCCTTTTCCTCACCTATGGTCACGAGCTGTGAGTAGTAACCGAAAGAACGAGATCGCGGATACAAGCGGCAGAAATGAGCTTCCTCTGAAGGGTGGCTGGTCTCTCCTTTAACCTGTTAGCAGTCGGACGTACCGCCCACGGTACATTGGATGGTTTAGGGGACTAATTGGACTGCTAAGGGGTTAAAGACAGGGTCAGAAGTTCGGCCATCCGGGACAGGCTCAGAATAGAGCCGCTGATCCGCCACACTGAAAGGAGCAAGTTAAGGTGATTTGGGCATCTGACAAGGATGCCTCCTGGGTGAGTCCTGGATGAGGGGCATGTCCCACCGGGAGGAGGCCGGGAGGCCAAGGCGCACTTATTCTCTTAACCTTTTTCCTCACAAAGATCAGAACAAGGTCAGCATTATCTCAGAGTAGGTTAATTAGATATGTATAATTCAAGTGATTTGATTTTGTTTTTATTAGTATTATTTGATTCTGCTTTTGTTTTACTGATTCTAAATTACTTTAATAAAATATCCTGCATCACAAAAGTCTACATTATGGACATTACCTTTTTAGCCCTTTGTTAAACAGTACAGGTAAAAACCCAAGTATTAATCTGCTTTAATATAAATAGCTCTTAGAGGCCACTTCAGCCTTACAAAAGTAACAGACCCCTGGGACTTTCCCAAGTCACTAAATGAAACCAATGATTTTCCAAGAGAACCTATCTGGAGGGGAGCTGCCAATAACAGGTGTGGCTACTGGATGCCAGGCCTGCAAGGGTACTCAGACTCCCGTTTTTTCGCATGAGAGGAGGCAGGGTAGACACCTGGAGAGCTTTTGAGGCAGTTAGAATTGGGCAAGTCCCCTCACCCATCAGCTCCACATAAGCTCTGTACTGCCTACTGGGTAAGATCCATGGGATCAGAGATTAGGATTAATGTGACGGAGCTGTATTGGGGTGCTGGTCCTACAGATCGACACAGGTCTTAATGTCTTTAAGACATTCCTGCAGTTTAACTAAATGAATGAAAATCTATGCTATGCCTTCAAATGGTACTGCCTAAAGGAAGCCTATACAATGTACATAAAAGTGGTTCTAGCACAGAACCCTGTGGAACTCAATAATTAACCTGTGTGTGAAGAAGACGCTCCAATTACGTGAACCAATTGGAGTCGGTCAGATATATATGATTCAAACCAATGCAGCACAGTAACACTCACAGCATGTTCTAATCTCTGTAATAATACAATATGTTCAATGGTATCGAACGAGGTCTAGCAGGACAAGAACAGAGACGAGTTCACAAGAAGACCATAAGTAACCTTCACTAATCCTGTTAATGTAGTGAGATGAATTTTGAAACCTGACTGGAAATCTTAAATTAAACCTCTCTGCAGATTATCAGTTATCTGTTTTACAACTGCTTTTTCAAGAAATTCTGAGATAAAATAAAGGTTGGACATCGGCCTAAGCTAAGACAGTTCGGTCAAGTGATTGTTTAATTCCAGCCACCTTAAAGGCCTGTTGTACATAACCCAACAGGCTTCTCGGCTTTTTAAATTATTGTTGAACAGCCCAGCCTTGAACACAGCACATTAACACCATGTACAGGTAATGCTGACAGACTGTCAATCTACTTATTTTCAAAGAAAGAAACCAGAGAGAAAAATCAATTGGAGAGAAAGAGTCTGACTAAATATCACCTATTACCCTATGATATCATAATGTTGCTGGGGAGACATCATCATATTGCAATTAAAAAAAAAAAAAAAAAAGGCTGACGTCAGCGTGTTGTAATTAAAAAAAAGTTTTAGAAAACACAAGAGCTATCCCTTGTGCTGTTTGAGAGTTTTTGTGTTTTCTTGAATTTTATTTGTGAAGAATATAGACAGTTTAATATTACAGGAATGCTTGGTTCAGTGTTCTGACTCTTATTCTGACTACAGTGCTAAAAAGAAACCCTGGGTTGTCCTTTTGTTCTTCATCACTGATGGATAGTAAGATGTCCCAGCGTTATAAAGGGCTTTTTTTTTTTTATAGAGCAACAAACTCTTTTTCAGGCTAAATTAAGATTTTCTAAATTAGTGTGACACTGTTTACTCTCCAGGTTATATGCTTTAAAGTGCGTGTTTGAGAGTTGCACTAGTGAGTCAGGTGCTTCTTAATGGTTTTGCCTTTAGTAGCAGAATAACAGTAATTATTGGAGCTTCAATTTAAATAAATTTAACAGCAAATTTAAGAAGCTGCTTTTATCACCTGCGAGAAGAACTCTGTTGTTATTTTGTTATTGTGGCTATCATTTGCATCCAGCTGATGAGGACATAAAAGCACAAATGCGCTGTGTTCATCTTTAAAGAAAGCCAAGCTCAGCTTTGTACCTGTGCTTATTTACCAGGAGCGAGCATAAACAAAGCTGACACTAAGAAAGAAAACTGTAAAAACACAGTCTCGGAAACCAAAACAATGAGCTAAAAGTCCATTTACTTGCATTGATTCTATCGATTCCCCCCCTCCCCCTTGATATGCATGCACACCTGCATGCATCTTAAATGTTTTTTCTTCCATGTATTGGCTTAGCATCTAAAGTACTGACTCATTAAGGTTATCAGGAATTGCCCAACTAAAGTATTAAGTATTGTATTAAAAGTTTTATTTATCGCTGGCCATTTCCCCCCTGACCATATTTATCTTTATATTTTATTTATGCATAGTTGAGTAACTCATTCATCTAATTTTAAGCTATTCTAGCTGGACTGAGAAGCACATGCATTTCCCATACAATGTGAAGTGAATACACCTGCACCTACTTTTAAGTTGCAGGTGGTAAACAAACGCAGGAACTTACGGCGCATTTCCTGCCTAAGTAGCAGAAGAGGCACTCGTTCTCCTGCGGGGTAAGGAGCAGGGAGCCGACGTTAACCGCCCTGCGGGGCGGCGGGTGGCTGTTCATGGCACCAGAATCTTGTAGTCGACCCCGAAACAATGCAGTTATCCCTGGAACGGGCACTACAAACGGCTGTATTTACAGAAAATCCATGCGGGCTCCGGTTGCTGTGGCCTGCAACCGGATCATCTCCGCTCAGTTCGACTCCGAGCAGGAGGGCGGAGGAGGATGTGGTTGCGATCTCTTTTCCAGTCTGGCTCCTGCTTAGGAAAAACCCTTGTATTCTCAGTTTGATGTTGAATGTCAAACCAGTGACTCGTTAAGTGTACGTAGACAGATAAACGCTCAACTTTCATTCGGAAACTCCAGCGACTGCAGCAGTAATGCGTACATCCAACATGGCAGCAGGAGGGAGCAAACCACTTTAAGGATACAGCAGAGGGGTGTTGCTTTCAACAAAATCTGCCCATATCCGCTATAATACAGATAACATGGGCAGAAAAGCCGAAAGATGTGACACATTAAACACTGTAAAACTGTTGAATTATATATATATTTTCCGTGGTAAGAATAAAATGTCGCTGAAAACAAAAACGGTTCATCCCATGCGGCAGCAGAAATGCAGCTCTGCAGAGGGAGAAGGGTGGGGGGCAGGGGGATGCCAGTAGATGTAGAGCGTGGAAGTATGAAGAAAATTCTCTGTAAGGAAACAATTAGCTTTATCATTATCATTTGCCTGAAATTAAACCGACTGGATTGTAAAATAACATTATATTCTTGTGCTAATCCAGATAAAAAAATTATTTTTATATTATACATATTCTACTTTATCTTGTACATATTATAATGTGTGCAGTATGCAGTATGTAGCCTACTATGTGTGTTTAAACATAGTAAAATAGACTTGATTTACTGCTTTCTTAACCAGGAACTTTCTAACCACCATAAGCACTGCAGACATTGAGAAATAGATTTTGGGAGACCAAAATAATGTGGTAAAAGGCTCAATTCTCTATGATAATTCCCCATGACATTATTTTTACAGGTTACATCTTTATAGTTGTCTAATTAAGTACTTAAACCTGATTGCGTGACCTGACCACTAACCATTTTTCTGCTTTTCTACTGTTTCCACTCTTCTGGTGTTCTGCAAAATGCCCAGAATGGCACATATCCGCAGTCCTTATTATTCCAGTCAGTAGTGGTGAACAACTACCAACAGAGCCTACAATGATAAGTGACATCTTATACGCTCAAGTTTCAAAACTTGATCTGCTAACATATTAGTGCCAGACACAACAAGGTGCCTTTTAAGGTTTTGTAGAAGACCAGTCCAGAAGCATAATGTGTTGGCTGTTCATTGTATAAGACATGTTGATATAAAGAAGCACAATGTTAATGCTCTGCTGTGACAATCAAATTAACCTAAAATATATTTTAATGGTAAACAAATAAAATGTTGACGTTTGTGAATGCTGAGGTGACAAATGGACAGACAGTCTCATGCAGGACCTGTCTTCATGCAGCAAGTACATCAGTGGCATTAACACCAACACTAATCTGGAGACCAGCTGCTCCTACATTCTGCAGTATAAAACACTGAGCAAAGGTCACAAGTTTCAAAGAAGCAGCACCGACAATCTACGATGTTCTCATGAAGCAGGATCTCAGTAATTGAAAACTTTGGTAGTCATTTTTGGGACCAAGGATTTTATCCTGTAAAAAAGTCTTGTTTGCTTAAAATGTTATTTAAAAAGCTGATTAGTTTATCTTAGTTTCAACAGATGGTGGAGAGCGTTGGGGGTGGAAAGTTGTTCTTGCTAAATAGAGGCAGAAGAGATTTCTAGCACAAGGGATGATGCAAAACCAAGATGGTTATACTTTTTTTCACTGTTTGTTTTGTATTTACACTATTAGGATTCGTGTAATACTATCAATATCATATCATATGAATTTATAATAGTTTACCTAAACATTTTATTGCAAAGCTATCGAATTTTGTTTGCACGTTCAGTACATTTCGGTAATCATATTGTTGTACTTACAATTTTATTATTAAATAGCTGGGATTTTTTTTGTTTGTTGTTTTTTTTCTTTTTACTTTACTGCCACCTATATGGTATTGCTAAAGTACCCTAATGTCCACTAGATGGTGATCTTCTCATGCTTTTCTCTTCCTTGGTTGATGGTGGGAAAAGAAGCATTGTAGAGCAGAGGTGGGCAATTCCAGGCCTCGAGGGCCGGAGTCCTGCAGGTTTTAGATATCACCCTGGGTCAACACACCTGAATCACATGATGAGTTCATTACCAGGCCTCTGGAGAACTTCAAGACATGTTGAGGAGGTAATTTAGCCATTTAAATCAGCTGCGTTGGATCAAGGACACATCTAAAACCATCACTTCTTGTTCAAGAGTGATGGGAGAAGGGCGCAGGAAATTGACAGCTAGATTGGTGCTGCAGCCGCAGCGATGCGGACGCTGAACTGCTCCATCGTAATAAAGAGAGAGCTGAGTGTAAAAGCAACACTCTCAATTTACTGGTCGATCATCCCCCAACTATCACCTATGATCACGAGCTGTGGGTAGGGACCGAAAGAACGAGATTGCGGATACAAGCTGCAGAAATGAGCTTCCTCTGAAGGGTGGCTGGCCTCTCCCTTAGAGATCGGGCGAGGAGCTCGTCCATCTGGGAGGGGCTCAGAGTAGAGCCGCGCTGCTCCTCCACATCAAAAGCAACCTGTTGAGGTGTTTCGGGCACCTTACAGGATACGTC